GAGTTAACAGGATCTTTGTAATAATTCCTCTTAGTAGGAAGTATTATAGCATTATTTGTTCATTTTTTAAATATTTGGGTTTTGAAGTACCTTCAGTTTCCATAACGCTAATTTAATTTAAAAGTTTAAAAAAAAAAACAATTCTATAGTTAAGTTTCAGTTTAGTTAAAAATGTAAAAAGCGGAGTTGATTCAATTCTGTGAATTCAGTACCTAAATTTTTTAGTTTTCGTACTTGTTTCTCATAGAACACTTTGCGTTGGAGCAGTACATGTATAACGATTAAAGCAAAATCTTTTCCTTCGGTTCTGAAAACCCAAAAAGTTACATTCTACAGACTGACGCACTGACTGATCCTGGGTATATATTGCCACTGAAATTTTAACGAAAGCTGCAGCTGTATGTAAGCTAAGGCTAAGAAAATCACTGCATATTCATCCAGTCAGTGGATTGTATACAGAGCGCCGGATTCACACTCCTACCGTAATAAACTTGTATGTGAGGTTTCTAGTCATGCCGAGGACATGAAAATATAGACTCTGTAAGTAAATCTAAAAATCAATTACTTAAAACGATTTGGGTAATTTTTCTATTATTGAAAAACAGTTATACTCCAACTATCACTCAAGAGTCATTGCTTGCTTCTTTTGTCATGTGTTGTGCCGAGGTTGTTTTAATGACATCTTGATGGAATTGAAATTTATCTTTGAGCTTTTAAATAAAATAAATAAATAAATAACATGACTGCTTCGGCAAACAACAATATTTGTCTATAAATATCCATAAGTATTCAGTTGTGATTGGCAACGAACGATGGCGAATATATCGAGATCTTTATTTTGCGCAATACAACACTACAACAAAAAGACTATATATATTGTTTTTCTTTATATAATTATGCGGCCTAAATTGATATGAAATAATTACATGAAAAGGCTGTGTGAAAAATGAAGTTTTTTGAAGGTTGTTATGGCAACAGGACGGTGAAGTCGGTGTTTGACATTCAAATGACGGGGCTTTTAGCAGCTGCGCCAGCGAGTCATTCTCATTTGAAACCTTTTTACTTATATAAATTTATCTTGTCCTATATATAACTTATTTTCACACACACAAAAAAGCATTTTCTTTTTAATACTGAAATTAGTCTCTTTTGGATGAACTAACGACGAGCGTTTTAACGGAGAACTCTATTAATATTTATTTCAATTCAATATTTCCTGACATCGCGTCTGCAAAATGAATATGGAAATTCAAAAAAATTAGGCCTTCAATGCGTTATTGATATTTGCAAAACTTGAAATTCCAATCCAACGTTTAATTTGAATGAAATTATTGCTTTTTAAATAACCCTTTGGCAGATTCTTAATGGTTCCTGATAAATCCACACCTATTTTTGTCCTTTTATTTCGCTGTATTTTGCATTTGAAATATAAAAACTCCACAACTCTAGGGTCGTCATGGAAACGCTTTGGTGATGTGTATAACTGTCTTCCTGTTCATGCGAACGAGGTTGTGCTGGTTCGTACACTGTGGTACTTTTCTGAGATACCATTTCGCTGGCACAGATGTCGAAAGTTCAATAAAGGCTTCGAAAAAGGAAGACTGTAGGGGTAGTTGAGTTTCCCCTAGGAATATATCTGGGTTCAGAAGGAATGGATTAAGGGACATAGTGAACATACAACGCGCAAATGGAATGATACTCGTCTAGGACAGGCGAAAATTCAAGGTCTGTATAGAACGTTATCTTATTCTGTAAATAGATGTACATTTTATACCTTCAAGGCTTTCATCTATCTTAAGGGTCATAACAGTTCTAAGTTTTTTTTAATAGATTGACTGATTCGTTTTGAGACGGAAACGACATATCTTTTTTACTCCATTCTAGATCAATGTTGTACTAAAAATGATTCGTCCGTTGATCGAGTTGATTGCATTACTGAAATCGAAAGCGTACAACGAAAGATATATATATATATATTCCTTATTATTGCGAATAGACTTTAGCGATGGATTTGAAGTCGTCTTATTTGATAATAACATTTTTTTATAATATTGTGGTAAAATCTAAAGCGGGGAAAGTTCATTGATACACATACAAGGTCGCAATGAGAGCCTTATAAATTTGAAATAGTTTTCTTGCTTATCGATGGCGAAACTAGGCAGCTTTTAGTTTTAATTTTTAGATTGTATCCAACAATTATCTTACTTAATCAACAACACCATTTTGAACTCCCAAAATCTCCGAGTAGGGTGGTTGGATGTAATGTTATTGAAATGAAAAACGTGAATGAATCAATGAATGAAAAACACAGAACTGAGCCTTCTCACCGGCTCAAGAGGACGACAGAATTGAGCAAACAGTTGCACAATGTTTAAAAATACGCTTAAGAAAACGAAGTGTTTTTCAGTTTGTTCGACGTTAAAAACGAATGAAAGTCAACTCGTGGTTCTAACGAGGGTTTAAGATTCCTAAATCTCGTGGTTTGTTTGAATTTAGAGGAAGACTGTCGCCTAGCTGCAGATAAACTACAAATAGTGTTTACAAAGCAAGTCCGTAGATTAAAAATACGACTCTTCTTAGAGTCCCTTGCTATATTTTCTTCATTGCTCGAAGTTAGTCATCAGCTTTATTTTATTGGTTAACTTACAAGTTACCCGAATATAATGCCTTTTGGGAGGCATTTTCAGCAGATCGGACCGAGCGCGCTTTTCGATGCCTTCTAACTTACATGTCAGGAATATATTTTCCATTAAACATTTATGACAAAGCTTAGGCTCTGAATAATGAGTTTGGTGGCAGTTTATAATGAAGGAAAGCAACTTTGTTTGCCTAGGGATTTGCATGAATTTTTCTTTGCATGGAAATAGAATAGTGGTAATCTCAGTTGAAGTAAATCTCGATGGTCTGTTGTTGAATGAAATAAATTCTTCTGTCTCTGACCATCTACTTTTCAATTCTAATCATTTGCCGAGATAAAATAAGGTGCCAAGTAGAATAAATAATAATTTAACTATTCTAAATGTATTTTTGAATAAATAAAAAAAATCCCTGCTTCACACTGATTTGATAGCGCTTTCAAAAATTCGAAGTTTTGCGACTTTTTTTCAAGGACTAAACAATCGTCTACAGCCTAGCTAGGTAAGTTGAACACCTTTTCTTCCTGATAATTGTTGATCTTGTATTTATGGTTTTTGAACCTAGTCAAAAGTTTTTGTTTGGCAAAGCAGAGAAACATTCTCAGCCGCTTATATATAACTTACGAAACGAATCTCTATATTTAGTAAAACGTGGGACTAATTGAAACCGAATCATAAGAAAATAATGGCGCGACTAAAGATATAGCAAGATTGAAATGCGATTTAGCGATACTGGGATTTCTTATCGAGTTTTCAAATGCATGCACAAAAACAAACAAGAAGAAGGAAAAAACTGAAAGAAAAGAAAAACAACTGGCTAACTTGTAAAACTATACTTATAAGCTATGAATTAAAATAACATATCTGACTGTCTGAATACGAACTTATAGCACTGTAAGCATTGGGACGGATATAGTACACTTCAACCACGAACGAAACTGTTTTTAGACGGAAGTGATTATAAAAATTTAACTCCTGTAGGGAAAAAGGCCATAAATTCTGAGCAGTATTAATGTATTAAGGATTCAAATGCTTAATTTGTTTACTATATCAGATGGTTTTTCTTGGATCAAAGAATCGCCTAATTTGGCACAAATGTTGAAAATATCTGCACATGCGCAATCATATCTCAACTCAATTAAAAGAGGCTTATGCAGTAAAAATATAATTGGTAATAATTGGATTGCTAGTACAGCTCGATCAGTAGGACTAGCTGTGAAACCTCCATTGCATTGTATTATTAAAGGCCGGCGGTAGAAGAAAACGTGGGATGTTGAACGTATTCATTAGATAATCGTATTGAATTTCTATTTTTGAAGCCAGGATTTCATTTTCAAGTTCTCAGACACTTAAATGGCTTCTTGTCATTATATATATAGCAGTTGAATGGTATTTTAATGAGATAACAGAAACAGCATCCGCGCTTTAATGAGAAAACGTAGTTCTAGCAATTTTAATTTTAAAATGTTAAAAGTAGATATATCGCAGTCCGGTTTCTTCATATTATTTCACCGTGTCGAAGGGAGTGACGTAATGAAGAACCACTGAGGACGTGAAGAAACTCTGGCGGTAACCAACCTTAGTGTCTGGCCTTTAGCAATGATTTCTTAATGGGTTGATTGTGGAATGGTTTTAAAGGGGTTGATTTAAAATTTGTGCAATGTACCTTGAAGGGGACCATGAGTACGTTGTGAAGCACCAGCCTGGGAGCAAAATCTCAAATAAATACGGTTACCGTTTCTTAGCTAGCACTCCCTTTGGTAGTGAACTTATTCACTTATGACTAGCTACAAGAGGTTTGTAAATTCTTGGCCATGGAAGGGTGCATATTTCATCACAGCCGCCATGTCCAGTTGACTATACAAAGCATTCTACATTAGCTTCTCTTGTTAGATTAATCAATATGGCGGCTGTTTCATTTCTCGTGGTTTAAAGGATTTCAGATGTTTTCCCCTCTCCTTTATAACCCCCTTCATTGATTATCGACTTTCAGTGATGTGATTGAGCTCCAAGCTAAGACTCGTCTATTTCGTTTCAGCCAATGGGTGGGTGCTCGTCCCAGGTCGTGCCAGAAGAAGTGGCCGTTCAACAGCAACCAAGAAAACAAAACTGGCTTGTATGTTGTAGACACAGGTGAGACCTACTTCCTAATAACTCTTTAACTCCCCATAGATCTTTCTCACGCGTCCTGAACCATGTTCACTGGAATAATAGATGGCACGCATCTCCAATGTGTGCAATCTCGAGGGCAGGGTCGTTTTGGTGAGCGCTGACTACGAAGCAAGAAGACGCTGGAGGACTCTGGGCACGTATGGGGAGTGCCCGCGAGAATCTGGWACCGAAACTAATGACATCTGCGAATCTTTTGCACATATTTCCTATCTCCTCCCTTCCGGCTTTTAATTCCACGTTTTTCCGAGCACTGAGGAACGTAGACTACATTATTATTCTCGAATGGTGGTTTACCGTAACGTGATCTTTTTCTATGTGGTCACACTTTTCCGAGCACAGAGGAACGTAGTCTATATTGACCTTCGTTATTCTCGAATGGTAGTTTACCGTAACGTGATCTTTTTCTATTTGGTCACACTTTTCCGAGCACAAAGGAACGTAGTCTATATTGACCTTCGTTATTCTCGAATGGTGGTTTACCGTAACGTGATCTTTTTCTATGTGGTCACACTTTTCCGAGCACAGAGAATCGTGGTTTGCCGTATCATGATCTTCCGGTATTTGGTCACTCTGACTGTTCAACCACAAACCAGAATAATCACGTCACAAAACGAGAGGAAATTTGTGACAAAAATAGATCTCTAAAAGAACCATCATCTGTACTTATCTCAAGACAAGTGATTCTTCATTTCACTGTGAACTAACAGAGAACTGAAAGACTGTCAGCTGCTGTCGTCGTGTAGTTCGAACACTTCTTGAATGGGAATGTAAGAGAAACTCAGTGATATTAATCCGTGAATGTAAGATAAAGTTCGAAAGTGAAGGGTCGGCAAGGAAAAGTAAAATTATTTACAGAGCAAAATTAGTATAGTCAAAGCTTCGAACATTACAAGACTTAGAGAGTATAGTACAGAGTCGGAATATACAGTGATTTATAGTGTAGACAACCAGGGAAGTGTATGGTTAAATTAGTGTCGGATAGTATAAGTTATCGTGTTGTAAACACGATTGCATGATACTGAGCATAGCCGAGATAGCAACCTGCTATTGAATACATAGTTTGCCAAATGCTGAACACGAGATGTTTGTAGAACGAACTCTAATTAAGGAAATCGTATATGCTAAGACGTTCGTTTCTTTCTCTTGCAGAAAACAAAGTTCTACGACTAAGTTGTTGTGTAGCAAAGACAAAGACAACGAAGCCGTCAAGTAAGTCAATAGACATAGCCGTATTATTTCCTGTTACAGCAATTGGAATTGATCGATTTTGTCCCGATGGGTTATTCGGTCAGTCTATTCGGATACCGCATTGATTCATACAAGACTAAGACATTCTTGAATTTGCTGTTAATGCTAATTATTGCTTTCACAGAAAGAGAAACCACATATTACATGCCTCGATGCGTATAAATGATACGCTTTAAAACACGTCAGCAATGAGAAATCCGAATCCCATCGATCTCAATTGGGATTGGTTACAAATCTTGAACAAAAACCGAGGGTCTTAAAGGCGCGATTACACGGAGCAATTTTCTCTGCAACTTGTCTTGCAACAGCGAAGCGACACAAGTTGAAGAGATCACACGGTGCAACGGAGATGCAATCGTTGCCAAAAGTATAAACAAATTCTACTTTTCGCAACGATTGCTGCAATTCATCTCGCAACATTTTTCAAATTGCGCTGTAGGTTACACGCTGCAATGCTCCATGCAACTTGTGTCAACGACGGCGTTCCTGAGAAAATTGCTCCGTGTCATCGCGCCTTTCCGATAGAACTTTTTGGCTTTGGAATAGTTTGAGCGTAAATAAATGCTTTCCAACTACAGACCACGTGTCATTCTCTTGAGAATAAGATTTGGTTGAGTTGTATTTAGATTCATCAGCGTGTTTTCTCTTGCAAAACTTTTAAACAAAGAAATGATATTCAAGGGAATAACACGTGGTCTGAAATGAGGAAACATTACGCATTAATAACATAACATTAGGTAAAGAGGTCTATTCCGCTTTCATTTGGCCAAAACATTTTCGTTTGCGCAAAAATTTCAATACAGATTTTGTGGTTTTCTTCTATGTACAAAGCAAATAAATATTAATGAATATCGCCATTCCCCTGTTGTCGGCTCAGAATTATCGCGCGACGGGATAACCACGATGACAAAACTTTTGTCCGTTTTGTGGTCGCTAAAGGACCTTTATCACTCGTCGACCATGCTTTTATTCTCATGAGAATGAAAATATTTTTTAACCCGTATGAATTTATTCTCGAGCACTTGAATGCGAGGCTACGCGTGATGGAATCTATAGCCCACTTTCGAGATATGCTTTGCTTGTCGCGCACAAATGTTTCAGTGCGAGGTTTCAGTGCTAAATTAAATTTATTCTTTTCTCCTGTCACGAATCACTGAGCATTATGCACGAAGCCTCACATTGAAACCTTTGTGCGTGACAAGCGAAGCATGTCTCGGAAGTAGGCTATTTTTGAAAACAACATGGCTGCCGCGTGAAAAAGGCCCATACGGTTTTCTATCGACGTCGTTTGGGGAAAAACATATATTCCGTTCTGCTTTGAGACTACGGCGCATATAAAGTTATGCTCTCTTGCCCATACGGAAAACTGTATATTTTCAACCAAACTAGCCGACAAAGACGCAATATTACCTATAAATAATATGCAAATGGTATCAATTAATTTCAGGCCAACTCCAGAGGAGGCAAAGACATGGGAAACAGACTTCTCTGCTCTACTCCATAATAAATACGGCATTAATATTTTTCAAGAATTTCTTCGAACACAATACGGAGACGAAAATTTAAATTTCTGGATTGCTGTGGAAGAGTATCGCAATATTAGCGATGTAAATACAAGGAATGAAATGGCTCGCATGATTTATGAAGACTACGTGTCAACACTTTCTCCAACTGAGGTACGTGATAACGTTTCAAAAGGGAAAAGATTAATTATCACTAAGAAAAGAGAAGTCATTTCTAAAGGATGCGGGAGGTTGGTTAACATGTCGATAATATTAATGCCAACAGACCAACGCCACGTCTTTTGAACATTAGAACATTATTCGATTTTCCTCACGCCGTGAAATAGTTCGTAGACTAATAAAAGTTAGAAGATCTTATTTTCATTGTTTTCTTTAGTGCCTTCTTGACTATTATACTCTAACTACTAGAGACTGTTTCACCGTCTGAGGAAAATTGCTCTAAATAGCGAAGTAGACACAAGTAGAAGGATTTCCTTGGTAGACAAGTAGAGTTAATAGATTTCACGGTTTTAGGAAAATTACTCTAGTTATGTTTTTAACGGGTAACAGCTAGTCTATCACTAGTCCGTATACAGCCGCTCTCCACCTCTCCTCCCTACGGGGAAAAAAGATTCCCCTAAGGAGGGAGGGGTGAGAAGCCGCTGTACACAGACAGTTTCGCAGACACAGAGTCTGGGGATGCACAACCTTTTCTGAAGACATTTTACAACTCATTTTGATGCGCGCGATATTTCAACTACTTCCCCAAAATTCGCAGCCATTTTAATAGGCCACGTTTGATACCCTTAAATTCTGTTAAATTCTGGTTTGAAGTAATGTTTCAAATACGAGTTGCTGTATTCTATTGGGGTTTCAAAATCCCTCGTGAAATTCCACGAGGATTTTGAAACCCCAATAGAATACAGCAACTCGTATTTGACACAAAGTACTAGAACTCTGAAATGGGTGCGGTCGTATTTGATGGGGGATTCAAACTACTGCACGTGGTACAAATAAGAAACCCTGGTTGGATGATGTACGCATGAATAATTTATAAGTATAAGATATGGGCTTCTAATGGTCTGCCCCTCTCGTTGAATATTCTATTTAATATTCTTACAGATAAGCCTGGATGCGAAGATTCGAGCGGCAGTCGACAAGCAAATGTCAAGCCCAGATGAAAACACCTTTCGTCCTGCACAACAACATATTTATAACCTTATGTACAGAGACTGTTTCCCAAGATTTGTTAAATCAAAGACGTACCAACAACTCACCGAGAGTTAAGGACATACAATAAATAATCTATAAATAACTTTCTTTATATTCTAAACTAAAGAAAAAACTGGGCGCATGAGAATGGTTGGAGTTTCTAAGTCTTCTCATTCCAGTTTTTTTTTATTACAGAAAAAAGACTTTTTTGTATGTTCGTTATGTGAACGCTAAGCGTAAGTTAATGAAAAGTTAAGCCTGGCGCTTAATAGCGACGCAAGCCGACGCAAGCATAAGCACAAGCGCAAGCCAACGAAGGAAAAACATCTTTCGTTCTCTTGCGCTTGCGTCGCTTCTTTTCATACTGAGAACATGGAGTTGCGTCTGCTTTGTGTAACTAGTGAGAACCAGTCTTAACCCAATTGTGGGTCAACGAAAGAATCTAGTCTACAGTGCTCACCCACACGCGCACACTAATCGGTGTGAAGCATTCAAGGGAAAAAGTGGGCTAGGGGTGCTTACCATTCACCCAAAAAAATTGTCTTTAATCCGGTTGAAAAACCAAATGGTTTGCGTCATTTTGATCGGAAAGTTACGGGAAACACGGTCTCTCGATTGAGGTAATCTACTTTTCCCGCTCTTTTCGGTTCTTTCGGTAGACGCGTGTACCATTTGTCGTAAGTCAAATTTTCTCGCTCTTTTCTTAGCACTAGCAAACGAATTTCCAACCGGTTGGATTGGTTTAAATGGTAAGCACCCTAGGTCTTCTCTAGTGCAAATGTGAATTTTAATATATTATCGATATATTTAGAAAATAAGACTAGGTGTTGGTTAGATCTTACCATTGGGGCATTGTCAATCAACAAATTTGAATTTAATGCAGATATTTTTTTGTTGAAGTTGTTTGCTAGCTCATCAAATCAAAATAGGCGAGTCCGCCTTAAATATTGGGATGGAGATTTCGTTTTTATAAAAGAAATCACCATTTTCGCATTTTCATATTGGAAAAATTTCCAAAATATCGATCTTGCCAATGAATGGTATTCTAAAAATTTGGGACAGTTTAAGCTTTGTGCCCCGTCTTGTTTCTTAGGCCCTGGCTAAAAGAGGAAACATGCTTCCCTAAATGTTTCCTAAGGTGGCAAAACTGTCAGGAAACATCGGGAAACAATGTTTTCATGCGCCTTGGAAACATGAAATGTTTCTGCCGCACAGTAAAAACAGTTTTTTGCATCTTGGAAGCAAAATTTGTTGCGCGCAGCAATGTTTCGCATGTGGCTAAACAGGGAAACATCGAGGAAACATGCGCGCGGTAAACATGTTTCCTCGTTTAGCTAGGGCCTTAGGTTTGAATGAGTGAGCAACGCTGAGAAAAAAGTCTAGAAACCGCAACTTCATTCTATCGTTGTTATTCTAACTATGAATCCATGGATATTGGCGAAATAGATGTTTAGCTGGGCTATTACGTTTTGTCTCATGGGTTAAGTGAAATAACTTAAGTATAATTTAAAATGAAACAAGCAAACGAGCAAAAAAAATTTTTAGAAAGTAAAGTCTAATATCAAAGACGTGAACAGATGTAAATATGCTGACAATTGATTCAGGTCCAATCAGTAACAAAGGATTAATAGTTGATAGATCAAGTATCACAGCTGTTATAATGACTAAAAGATAGCCGTTGGTGTAACTATTCATTACAAGGCTGACATTAGTCTCCCCCACAGCCGCTTTCAGTGTCATCACGCAACGCTTTCTCCCCTACTCAGGGGAGAAAGCGTTGCGTGACGACACTGAAAGCGGCTGTGGGGGAGGCTAGGCTGACATAGCCTCCTACTCATTCAATCACTTTCTTTTTCTAGCTCTTTCGTTTTCTCATCCATCTTTTGAATTACTCTGTCACTTCTGGTGACGTATTTCGGGTCCAACTGTTCACAAAAACCAATAAATAAACCTTAAAATTCGATCTTAATGACATGACTTCCACTTGAAGCAGTCAGAACTTTGGACAACAAATCTTGCCACGAAGAAAAGAAAGAAAAATCTTTACGACTGTTTTTAGTTTTGGATCCCGAATTCTTTTATCTATCTTTTCTTTCTAGCTTCTTAACTCTCTGACTTACTAATCTTCTCTCTGATTAAAAAAAATACTTTTCTTTTAACCATCCAGCATCCTTTCTTTCTAGCCTCTTAACTCTCTGACTTACTAATCTTCTCTCTGATTAAAAAAAATACTTTTCTTTTAACCATCCAGCATCCTTTCTTTCTAGCCTCTTAACTCACTGACTTACTAATCTTCTCTCTGATTTAAAAAGAATTTTTTTATACATCCTTTCTTTCTAGCTTCTTAACTCTCTGACTTACTAATCTTCTCTCTGCTTTAAAAAATACTTTTCTTGTCTTTTCGTGCTTATTATTTCTCACTCACTGTCATACCTCTTTATTTGATTTTTGTACTCTTAATTTTTTCTGTATAAAATCTTCAAACAAATAAATATAAAATAATCAAACAGCAGACATTTCACATTAATATACATACCATAGAGTATACAGTTGCTATTAGCATAATTAATAATAAATGAGATCTATTAATGATCAACAATTCTTCTTTTTTGAAGGATAATAAATTATCAATCTAATTTTAGATTGCTGTCAGACTATACGCTTTGATCATCTCTTTCTCAAGGGTTTTTTGGGCTATTGATGTATTTATCTACAAGTGTCTGACCATATAGAAAAAATTTAACTTTACCCTTGGTTTCGATAACATTAGAGACTTTTTATCGAAACGATGTTATTGTTGTTACCATGTGATTTGATATCTAGGCGAGCAATGCGTTTTTTTGTCCCAGCGAAGGTTTCCAAGTGTTTTTTATTATCTCTTGATAAAAGGAAATAGAGTGCAAACAATATAACTGTCTTAAGAATTTCTTGCAAATTCTATTGTTTTCTATTGTTTAATTAGCACTATTTTGTACTMTTTAGTAATTAGTGTTTCACGGATTAATTGTTTGCACTCTACTTTCCACCATCGGCGACAAATTCTAAAACTATTTGGTAAATCTTTCCACGGATGTGTTTTATTTTCTATATTTTCGAGTCAAATACGTTTTTTTCCAAGCCGAAACAATTTCAACTTTCTGCTCGAAAAAAAAATTTAACTCGAAAATATAGAAAATAAAACACATCCGTGGAAAGATTTACCAAATAATTTGAGGAAATCGTGAACCAAGAACAAGGCGTTAGTAAAAGATGGAATCTAATTGTAAATAACAAATATCTAGAGATAGAGGAAATAAATTAATATTGAAGTAAGAGTTTTGGTTTTATGGTAAAAATGCCAGAGTAAGAATATTTATTTGGCCTGCGTTTTGATTCATGATTTTAGGCAATCATATAGTAGCACACAACGTTGTCAAGATGATCTGTTGAGCCAATCACATCAGACCTGATTGCTCTTTCAATCAGAATTATTAGGCTGCGTTCATAATGTAT